TTCTCCATCCCGAAGAGTGAACTTCAGAACTCCAAAGGAACGCCGCGGCCCCCACACAATGAGGTCTTTCTGGTCAATGAGGTTGCTCACCCCATCACGTTCCAAGAAGGGTTTGCTCTCATCAAGGATGGTCTGCTTTTTACTGTCCTGGACCCATCCCCCGACGATAAGTGTGCGACGGTCTTCTTCAGAAAGTTCATCCCGAGGGGCTGCATCAGGATGTTGAGGGTCTCGGCTACCGGCTGCGGGGGGCCCGGGCATCCCAGGTGCTGGTCCATGCTTAACACGATAGTCTGCCCAAGGATCAGTCACCCCTGGCCTGTTGTTGTTGACCCCCTTGTCCTTGAGGTCAGCAACTTCCTTGGCAAGAGCGGCGACCTTCGCATCAGTGGCCACCCCTTTTTTCTCAGCCTGCGAAACACGGGCATGCAGATTCTCCCTGTCCTTTTTGTTCGTGACCGACGACTGCTCCAACGAAGTGATACGCCCCGTTATCTCCTGCCAAGACGCAGCGATGGGTGCCAGGTGAACTTCAAGAAGACGTTGTAGTTCAACGGAAGTGACTGGGCGTCCCTCTTCTCCATGATCATCGTTCCTCCCGGTGGTCGGTTCTTGTGGAGGAGAGGGCGGTAGGTGGTCATCACGGTGCTTTCCTGTCGGTCGTCGTTGGCGTCCCGAGGTCTCGCTTTCTCTAAGACGCTTCCCACGCGAAGGACTAAACACCCCACTGGTAGTGTCGACCGCCATAGGGTGGTTGCGATCAGCTCCCGCATCCCCAGCACGATCTCCATCCCGAACAACCCTTCCACCTTCTCCAGCCTCAACCAGGTCAGCGTCGCTGTCATCACAGACCTCAGTTGGTGATCCCGGTTGCCCAGGAGTACGGGACATCCCGATGAAGTTGCGGAGGATCGTGTAGAGAGGAAGCACGAAGAGCACCCCCAGGGAGCGCGACGGAGGAGTACAGGAACAAGCAGGGTACAAAGAGGACGCCCCTGTTATCTTCCACAAAGGTCCGGATCAGGTAAGTGCCGAACGCCAGAGCTCTAACAAAACCACCTTAAGCCAAAAGCCTTGAGCCAAAATGGCTTGAGCCAAAATGGCTTGAGCCATAGCCATTTAAGGTTTAGGGTTTAGGGTT